CACCTGGGTGGGGTTGACAGTTGTCACGGTAACGTTTCCTTGCTGCAGGGCCGATGCTGGAACTACAATTTGACCCTGGGGACTAAGGGTCCCTGATATGGAGCTGGGGGTCTGTGTAATAGAGCATGTATACATAAAGTAGGCGCATGTATGTTTTCCATGCTGCTAACTCTTATAACGCCATTTTTAAAGTATTCCCATTTAACTGGCTAATATACCCCAGCAGGGGCACTGATCAGTGGTAGCTAACTCTTCACCTGAGGCGTTTGGTGGGGACGCCTGCAGTTCACCTGCACTGCATACCTGAGACTTGGTGGGTGAGAAGCTCTGGGCCTGGCCTTGTACAGGCGAGTATGGGCTCCCCGGGTCACCACTCAGCAGAGTCTCACTGTTCATCTTAGTCTTGAGGCAGGCGATGTAGCGACTGCAAAAGTCCTTGCACAGGTCGCTCACCTTCTCCAGCTCCAGCAGATGGATCCGCAGCACCTGGATGGCTTTCACCATCTTCAGATAGAAGGAATGGAAAGAGTTCTTAGGCTCAACATCTTTCTGTTTAACAAATGTTTACCTGAGGGCATTACAGGGAGGTCAAAGGTCAGGTCCAGTTATGACAGTCGCTTCCGATCACAGCACAGAATTACAATACAGCGCGATGCCACCCTGTGAAGGTTTAATTACTACTTATTTGTTGTAGCATGAATGGTCACAAGGTCTTTCTCAGTAGGAAAATACACCTAAAAGTCTCAAATTTATGCCCTCCTTCACATTTCCAAAGCCATCCCGTGGGCCGTCTTTAACAGGCCGATTCTGGCCCCTGTAGCCGTTTACTGTCACAAAAGTCTGTGGGCTGGCCCTTCAGAGAGAAGTGAAATCAACAAACGAAGAGCTGAAGTGAAAACAATGAAAAGTGTCCACTAAAGCCTTTCATGCTGTTCTTGATTATCTTTTATTATAGTTTAGTTTTTGTGGTTTGTGTTGACCTTCTGTCACTCCCTTTCTTTTCAACCAATCGGTGTATCAACATCCCTGCTGAGCTTCAAGTTGTTGGTTGTTTGGAAGACAATATGCAAGCGTGTTCGGATAGGTTACATAGCCCTCTGCGTGTACAAACATAAATGCTGTGAAATAAGGTTTAGCTTTCTGAAGCAACAATGTCTCACCAAGTTGTCAAGTTCAGGGTCTTCACTGAAGAAAGGCTTCCCCTCCTTCTCTTGATTACGGACAAAATTCTCAATGTCCACATC